GTTTGGAAAGCACTTTGGATCTCTGTGTCAAAAAGGTGCTATGCAAATAAACTTTTACTTACTTACATTGGGTACCACTGCGCCATAAGAATAGCATATTTTCCTTATTTACCCAAAGACACTGAGGCATTTTTAAAAGGGTTTCAAGACTGTTTACATCATGGTACATTTAAACGTACTTAACTATCAATTCAACACTGGTGCCTCTATGTGATCTTCACAATCAGACAAGAGCATCACCAAGAAAATTGGCTATTTCTATACAGTTAGTCTTAATGCTTGACACCGGGTCCGATTTGGTCGGATTACACTTGACTCGATTAAACAAAGCGGTGGAAACACTACTGCTTTTGTCCACCAGAATCAACAAAAAATCAAAGTTCATTGTTGCTGCTTTAAGTATCAGTTACAGAGCTGTACTCAAAATCACGCTCCTATGGTTCACACTCATTTCCATCAATCAGTTAAGTGATCGAAACGAAAGAAAAGGAACACAGTGGAAAAGGGCAAGAGCAGCGAGACTGACTCAGCTGCCTTGATCATGTTAACAGAAAATAAAGAGATGACCAATGAATCAACAAACCGAGCGTGTCTTTTAGATTACTGTCCACACAAGCCAGTGTCTATGTGAAAATATCCAATTTAAGGCAAAGCCAAAAGGAGTCCGTGGGAAAGAAAACGAAGCATTACGGAGCCTTGACTCACCGTCATAGTAGACGATGGCTCCCACCAGCTTGTCCTTCTTCAGCATGGGGAAGAGCTCCAAGGCCTTGGTCTTACTGAGGACGTAGCTGCTCTTCAGGCACTGGATCCCAGCCACCAGGTCATACATCTTGATCCCTGCCCAGTAGTAAGGCAACTGCCACCATCTTGGAAATGAACACAGTGATTCAAGTTAGATAGAGAAGACTGAATTAATCTGCCTTTTTCAAAGCATCCGGCTAGTGTAAATTACCCACCCAGATAAAAATGAACAACTCTTCAGTTAAAAGGTTAAAAGCATCATGCCAACATACACCTTTTATCACCTGCTTTGTTTGGTGTGAGTTTTTCCCCACGTCTTCCCTTCCGTATGAGTCTGTGACACTTACTTGTAAACAGGAAGCATGATGGGTAGTGGCGCTGATAGGTGGGGCGCAATTTCCAGGAGGTTGGCTCGCTCGTGGAGGGCCTCTTTCACCATCATGTACTGTTCCAGCAGAGAGGATGAGAAGATGAGGGCAAAGAAGGGGCAACAGGTGAGGGTGTAAAATAAGAGTATGAAGAAGAACCTGTTCGTAGTCTAACTTCATGATGGCCTTCTGGAGGTAGCGGACTCCACCGTGGATCAGCTTGGTGCTCCGACTGCTTGTCCCCGACGAGAAATCGCTTCTCTCGACGAGGGCAGTCTTCAGGTCTGAGGAGAAAATGGCAAAGCACAAGTCAATAAACCTGTACAGTTTGTTACTATGTCTTAAAACGTCTGATATATGTGCCTTGGGTGTATTTACATTAATAACAGCTGACACACTGGAGTGAGACCATTATAAACTGTTACCAGCCTACAAGGCGTATCCCTCCCTCAACCATGACTCAATAAGGACACGTATAGAGCTTGAAACCTGCTCCGTCCCACGAGAGGTGGTGTGCTTGAGAGTGAGCTTACTGCGTGTGACGGCATCTAAGGCACATCCTACACCCGTGGCCCCTCCTCCGACAACCAGAACATCGAACTCCTCAGTGTTTTGTAGCGCCGCGAGCTGGGCCTGCCGAGAGGGAAGCTCGTCCGCAAAGGGAACCTTCAGCTCTGCTTCTGCTGCCACGTGGGCTAACCGAGCCTGGATGTGACACACACACACAAATACAATCAGCACAATAACTTAAAGATTTGTATTTGCTTAATCCTGCAAATCTACAGGTTTCTATGTTAGTTTCTATTTAAAATCTATGTTAAATTCTTTGTGAACACAATACAAATGTTAGAAAACAGAGCAACACTTTCCTTGAGGTGCATTTTTAAACATTATAAGCACACTGCAAGCACAGTGTAATGTATTTATGCATTATACTTGCATTATAATCACCTTGTAAAATCATGTGATATAATGCATAATGATTTGCAATCATTTTAATACATTATGGATTTGGGGTGAATGTGTTATGAGATTACTGTAAGACATACAGTTGTATGCTTAACTACAATATGCATTACTGTGTTGTAATGGATGGAAAACAATGTATGTATGGAAGCCTAGAAGGTCCATTTATTACAGTATTATTAAAAAGGTTTATTAAAGACCGACCAACACTAAAGCAGATACTAATACTTTAAAAAACTGTTTTAAAAACAAAGATATATTGCTGATATTCATTATTTCACATTAACAGATATTTGATTGGTTTTTTTGGTTTTGTTTTTAAGAAATGCAAAGAAAAGAAGACGTACTGAGTTTTACAGTGTGAATACGTCCTGCTCGACAAACAAATGCAATGTAGAAAATACATATTTTTTACTACTACATTTATCTGACAGCTTTAGTTACTAGATAGAAGATTAATATTTTACAAACAAAACACACATCAGTTTATAAAACACGATGCTTCGTTATACATTAAACTACCCACCAGTTTATAAAGTAGTTAATACTAGCTTCGACTCCGCAGCTACGGACATGAAACATGAAAATGCTAATCCAAGATAAGTATACATACTTTTACATAAGTAAGAGTAAACAGTATTTTTAACTTTATAGTATTGCTACCTTTAAGTAAATAATATGAACGCCACCGTATAATTTACCACAAGAAGTGACATGGCAAACAAATGTAGTACAAAATGTAGTTAAAATGTATTTTTAACAAATCCAAGAAAGAGCTTTTGATTGGTTTGCTGGCGCCATTCTTGGTAGTAAAAGTGAGATTATGATGTGCTTATGATGTCTCGTTTTCACCTTAAGTTTCTCAGTGTTGCTAAAAATCAGAACATAATTTTGATGTGGTTAGTAGAAAAGCAAAGTTTGCTGAGGGTTAACTGCTGCAACATGCTGCACAGCTTCGCAAAACCCACAAAATAAAATCCCATGACAGCTTTGAACATCACTTACATCCATTGTTTGATTAGCAAAATAATTAACTGAAAGAAATAATCACAAGTACAATAAAAAAGCACAGCTCCCCTCTGATGTGAGGATGTGGGATTTCTCTTCTAATGAAATATTTATTCATTTTTCTATTTAGCAGGTTCAAGCTAAATGATTGCATCAAGCTGCTTTGAAGCAAACGTGGCATTTGACTTGCAAATAGAAGCAGGCGTTTGTGATTTAGGTCTGCAACCGCAAACAAGACGATGATATAATCATTGTCTATTTTTGATGATGCACACAGACGAACACCGCCACAGAATTAAGAGCCCGTGTGCCCCCCGTAATCAAGTTAAGTCAGTGAATGGCACAGCAAAGCCCATGCTAATAGCCAATCGGCCGCTGTAGAAAACTTCTCCAAGCCATATGCCCTTGCTAAAGGAGACAAGACGGACATTCATCTCATCAGCGTTGCAATTACTGAGATTAGAGGCATGCATGATTACAAACTATTGTGAAAATAATTATATTTCATCAGGGTCGACTTCTTGCTTACCAATCCGTGCTTGGTTGAGAGGATGACGGTGGGCAAGAGAAGACGTTACCGCGCCAGGACACAAAACAAAGTTCACATTAGGTTGCACAGTCAAATAAAGTCTGGTATGTAAATGTGAGGCAGGCCTAAAATAGGCCTGCGTCGGGTCAGAGGTCAGGGGAAACACAGCTGCTTGTCCATCTCAAGTGAAGCCGAGCCTCGTGGTTATTTGTGTGTTTGTGAAGATGGTCAGCGGCAGAGCGCCGAGGCTCGTCAGCGAGACTAAAAACTGGTGTCTTTCAAGGCCAGCAGTGCTCCCAGTGTCACTGAGACACTAATTCCAAGCCTGAGCTACCATTATAACCGGGCCTATTGTTCTCTGGGCATCTGCAGTTTCTTCATTCTCCTAACGTGGTGTCGTTCATCTATATTGTAAAGCGGCACAGTAATCTGGAAGAATCTGGACACAATTATATAATTTGTAGTCTACTTCAACCGGGATTTAATGTGGCCTGTAGAAAAGCACAAATCTTACAATACATCAAACAACTAAAATCTTTTCTGTACATGTTACAAAATAAGCACAATTATCAGCGTAAAGACATGTTTTCTTAACGTAACGTGTGTTTTTTGTTCTTCCTATATTCGTGAACTTCCTTAAAACAAATGACGAGGAGCTAGTTGATGTGTTGCTTTTGTTGCACAAACAGAAACTACTTCCCCCTCAGATTCTACAAGTTCCACATTTTGTTAAACCTGCTTTTTGCATTGTTGCAGAGAGTTAGATGAGCAGATTGATAACACTCTCATATCTGTATGCAAAGTATGAAGCTACAGCCAGCTTACTTAGCTTAGCACAAAGACTGGAAACAGGGGGAAACAGCAACTCGGCTCCATCCGAAGGTGATAAAATCTGCCTATCAGCTCCTCTAAGGCTCACTTATTAACACTTTGTAGCCTGTTGGTTTATTCATATTTAGTATACGGACATAAGAGTGGTATCAATCTTC